TGTAGATGAAGAGAAACAGTCCACCACGTTCTCTTCTGGAACTGGTGCGACTATCTCGTGGATCTTTCCTTCCTTCAGTTCGGACAGGAATAGATCCCACGTCATCTCCGAGAGATTAACTATCTCCTCGGCAGATGCCAAGACAAGTTGGAGCACCTCAACTGAGGATGCCTCCGGCATTTTGTCGTCGACGGCCTCGAACAACTTGTTCGTAGGTCCGTCCTCTTGGACCGAGACTGATCCAAGGGTCACTCGTTTCGACGTGCCCTTCATCGTCTTAATACGTCTGGTGCTCGTTCTTCGAGTCACCACGACCTTTGACCTGGAAGCAGGTGTCGTTGCTATCTAAGCTACGCACTCCTCCCAAACGCACCAGGCTCAAAGCTCTGCCGGTTTGTGGCGCTTGACTTCCTTTCAGCCCACCATTAACTGCCACAGGCTCTCGGCTCAGTGCAGGACCATTGGACGCTTGACTATTTGTCATAGTCCCATTATCTACACCAGTTTCCTCGAGCTGGGTAGGAGTTAGTGTCACCTGGATTCCTGTGAGGACACTGCCAACTACTCCAGGCTCAACGAGCGAGAAGGGTCATCACTTGGTCATAGCCTCGTGCTCGAGCGCTATAGACCAAAAGGGTTGAGGTCCGACCTTCGGAAGCTCAGGGACGATGCTACCCATTTGCTCGATAACTCTGAGCATAGAGGTAGCTACGGAGTCCGCGACAGTAGGGCATCTCGCACCTACTGCGCTCCCACATTTTCCGACCCATCTTGGGCAGGTGCTGAACCCGTGCGTCGTGCACGGTTTTTCGCACCTCCCTTCGGGTTGGGCGACCTTTTGCTGGCTGCCTTAGCACCAGCAGCTACTTTGGCATAGCAGCGAGCCATCATATGGCCTCGCTTGCCGCACTTGTAGCAGATCACATCTGCATTGCCTAACTCCATAGGAGTGGCATCAGACTTCTCGGAAGACGGCCTGTAATAGGCTGTCGCCGAGTCGCTGTTGTAGGATTGCTCCTCAACTAAGACAATGTCAATTGCCTTTTCCATCGTCGCTGGCACCTTTCTAAAAAGAGCCTGACGCGATGGGCCGTGCCTAAGTCCTTTCATGAACGTGGCCACCTTGATACGCTCTGGTATCGGTTCCCCATTAATGGAAGCCGACAGCGAACGCATCTCCTGCACAATTCTTGCAGAGAGTGTTTCGCCTATCGTGCTCCAAAGAAGCGCACTATAAGCAACACTTCGTTGTTAGGCGGCTAATACATGGCACAAATCTTTGACTTAAAAATCGTCCATGATGGAAACGCATCAGCGTTTGCCATAAGCGCATAGTAAGCTCACTCTGACGCTTTGCCACGCAAGTTGGACATGGCATACGACACCATTCTGGTGTCGTCTTCTATGAGCTGCGCCATACCGCATCGCTCCACTTCTGAAAGCCAGTGGAAAATCGTATGTGGGGCAGTCCCATCTAACTTCGGAGGGTCCATCCGAATGAGCCTTGGATGATTAGGCCGGGCAGAAAGCGTCTCAACAGTTCTGTTGAGCGCCTCATTACGTGCCTGCTCAAGCCTAAACTCATCCTGAGTCTTAGTGATGGACTTAGCCGTGGCTTGGCTGTTTGCCTCGGACGCATTTCTACGCAGCTCGAGCACAAACGCCTCGAATTGCTCCAACTGAGCAACATGTTGCTCAGGAGGACAATTCAAGAGGTTGGCCAGGGCTTTTTTACCAAGTCCTTGCGCGCCAAATGCTCATTCAACTCCCTATAAGGTTGGGAGAGGTAAGGAAATTAATTTAATTAACGTAAGAGGACATTCGTGTCCACATGCACGCTCAGAGAGACGGGTCGTGGGAAGGACTACTAGTGCTACCAAGTGTAGACAAGCGCTCCGAAAAGAAGCTTCTACGTACTGCGCGGGCACACCTTCTAGCAGCGCGAGGAAGTGGTTATACCGTCTTTGCGGTGGTGGTGTTGGCCGGCGCTAAAAAGCGCTATACCGGTCGCTTTGCAGCGAACCGCCCAACGAACTGCTAAGACAAGAGCTACGCAGAAGCTTATTAAGCTTCTCGTGCGCAGTGGGCGATAGTTAGTGAGTTTAAGACTGACTTATATAATAGAAATTAGCTAAATATAAATCCAATTACTGATTGGCCAAATATAAAAGATCGGACACGCGTCTCTTTGGAAGCGTATCCTTGCGTGCGAGCTTAAAATATATTTAAGCTCGCTGGTGACGTCCGTTTGAAGCGTCACCACGACGCCTAGTCCTAACTCGACGTCAACTCCATTGAATGTGAATCCATCCATGGATATCACATTCACGAGGGTGTGTCACATTAATGTGCCTCACCCAAGTAGTAGGCCTAAGGTACCTCGTACCCATTTAGGCCTACCCGTTAAGTAACATACACTTAACGAACCCGTATAACTATTAGCCCGTTACACTAGTGGCTTCTTTACGAATGGTCATGTGCTGGTGGACGATACGTAGATGTCTTAGTTTATGGATACATTCCCTACGCTTGATGACTTCGTCGCAGAGTTTGTTGCTAATGCCTGACGCTGGCGATGGTATCGACGATGTGAAGAAGGCTTCGTCTTAGTAGCTCCTTGGCTCATGACCATTGGTAGTTTGTTCGGTGACTGCACAAAGGAGTTCTCTGCAGAATTAATGAAGCAGCTAAAGGGTGAAATGATGAAGGACGATTCGCTGAAAAAGCTTATAAGAACGTGATGTAGTTCGCTGCGTTTGTCAAAGCAGAGGCTGAGCTGCATGACCGCAAGGCCCTGGAGCCAAGATATGATATGTACTCCCAAGTGCTGTACTGACGTTATTGTCTTATAGTACGATCAGAAAAGCGTGCTTCTCTCTTACAAGATGTACCTTTGACGGTTGCTGGAACGCCAGGACATCAACGTCGGGATACTTTGTAGACGGGCACTTCTACATAGTTGCCTCGTGCTACTAGCACACACCTTCAGCACAAGCGAGGAAGCGGTTAGACCGTCTTACCTTCGCGTGCGAGGGTGGTTATGCGGTTGGTCGACTGCTTAAGCAGTCGTACCACCAGTTGCCTCTCGCTTAAGCGAGAGTGCAACGAAATTTTAAGACAAGAAGTCACCGACGTCACGCAGAAGCTTTTTAGCTTCTCGTTCGTGGTGCTTCGGTGTTAGCAAATTCAAGACTGAGCTATTTTTAATGAATTATAATTAAATATAAACTTAACTACTGATTGGCTATATATGTATATAGATCAGACACGCGACTCTTTAGAAGCGTATCCTGACCGCATGAACTTAGTCTAGATTTAAGATTGCAACTGACGTCCTTCTGAGACGTCGCGACGCCTAGCTTCAACTAGCGTCATCCCTTCCCATGTGAATCCATAAATGGATATCACATTCACGAGAGTGAATCACATCTGTGTATCGCACCCAAGTGACAGGTCAAAAGTAATCATGGATACTTTTAGACCAAACATTAAGTATATAACTTAATGTTTGCGTGTAACTAGATGCCCTGTTACATACTTTGGCGACGTGAAAACGTCGAGTATGGATTCTCAAATGTCATAACTTGGTTTGTATCATTGCAAATGTTACTACATGAGCATAGAATTCACAAACGGAGTCACTAAGGCGATATAGACAACGCCGACGAGGAAGCCTGCTATCTACGCCTATGCCTAGTAAAGTCGATGTAGTAGATTAATTTGCTGCAGGTTGCATTACATGATGGTCTCAGGAATGTCATGTTTGCCTATTTTTTCATCCCGGTACTAGATAGGCAGTCGTAACGGTTCTTCCTTTCAAAATTATGGTTTCGGCGACTTTTCACTTTCCTGCATGCACACGGGAAACGTGAGTAATTTTGACGGGATTTGCTTCACAGCCAACACGTCAGCCAGCTTCCGCATATTTCGAGGCCTTGCTGCCCTCCTGAGGCTTCACACTCAGTCGACGCTTAAGCAAATTGAAAGCAAATGTACAGCTCTGTGAGTACGGGAGGCACACTGCTCTTCAGACACAGCACCTGGCCGACCAGACGATCCGAACGCATTAGCGTCGGGTCCATGTGCTTTCCTACACCGATCAGTCTACCGCGTACAGCACCTGCAGGTCTTTCTTGTCCGCACCAAGCGACACAAGAGGTACGTAAGTCATCTTGCTCGTCCTTGCTGACAAATATGCAGCGCACCTCGACCTCGTCGTGACGCGCAGCACACCCTTCAGAATAGAGCCATCTGACACCATTTTTAAGAGATTTTCCACGTTCTCAATAGGTTTATGCACATCGAATAAACGAATGACCATCAACTTAAGCTTCCGAGATATAGGGTCTTGCTTTGACTGAAAAAGTTGTGGCAAAGTGTACTGGCACACCACGTCCACATTGTACTTAAACACAGCCAGGATGAGAATAATCGGGGCGTTGCGAGCGACCGTAGCGGCCACACACTTCTTAATTTGCTCGTGCTATGCCACAATGGTACGTTCCTTAATTTAATTCACCTGTTCTGCAAAGAATAAAGATTCTGCAAGCGCATGATCTCATTAGCAGCAAAATAGGTGCTTAAACGTCTGCGGCTGAAGTCACACTTTATTACATGTAACAAGCAGCAACGGGGCATCCATGAAGGCGGCACCATTCAGCAGTTTAGCCATAAGGAATATAGGAAGGACGGTCTTCTTCTACTGTGTTTGTAATCCTTCCTCCCTCGGGCCGGCACCGGTGCCGCGTCGCTCGACAGTTCAATTTTTTTTAAAAGGTAAAATGGACACTCTTTCCCCTCTAAGTCAGGCAAGCAACGATACGATTTCGGTAGTCAGTCTATCAGAAGGAAAGGATGTCATAGTGTCACATACAATCCATAGCAGAATGAAAGGATGTTATAGTGTCACATACAATCCTTTAATGAGTGGAATGACAAAACCTTTAAAAGTTTTTGTCGTTCCTTCTCTTTCATTCGAGAATCTACCGACTAAAGAAGAAATGGTTACATTGGTATGTGCTATCGTTGGCGTGAGTGGAAGCGCATTTCCTGTGACAACTGACGCAAGATATTTTGTGAAGAAATTGAAAGATGATATCAAGACAAAGATCTCAAGGAGGATACCATGTGACGCAAACAAACTGCAGCTCTTCCCTGCAAAGATGAAAATCGGCACGGCAAAGACGAAGGGCGGCAAGTGGCTGTCGTCGAGCACGGAAGATGTTAAAAAGCTGAAGAAGGGCGAAAAGACTTCTCACGTCGTAGAGTTAACGGAAGAAGTCCGAGAGCTGCAAGTGGAGGACTCTATTGCCAATCTCCTTGCAGGTATGGAGACTCCAACAGCAAGACAAATTCACGTGCTGGTCGTGGTTCCTGAGGAATTTCCGGCACTCGGTAACGAGAAGAAGCGAAAAAGGGCAGATGATGACGCTCTTGACGTTTGGATGGATGCAATTAAGAACGAGCAGGTAACAGTATTACCATTGACTTGTGAAGACTTGAGAGAGTACCTGCAACGCCCGCTTCGTATTAAAATCCCCATATACGAACGGCATTTCGAGTTGATATCCGCGCATAACGCAACTGGAAAGTGTACTCGCGCTTTCTACAAGCTATTTGAACCCGAACCACGTAAAATAGTTGGGTATGAATCTATAACAATCGTGGGGGATTTTGTTAGTCCTCGCAGCCACAGGTCCGGAGCCTACTATTACTTGTGGGATAGCCTCATTGCGAAACTGCTGGAGCGTGTGGTAAACGGGCGCTATTGTCGTTATATGAACACATCTACTTCTGCTGACCTCTATCGACCAGATTTGTGTTTTTACTACGGCAAAAGCAATGTGTGCGTATTTCGCGGGGAAGAAAAAGCAAGTGGAGCGTTGGAAGTGCCGATCGAAGAATTGCACGATAGACTGATATGGAAATATGACGCTGCGCCGTACATTTTTGGCTACGCTGCTGTAGGTCTGCAAGTGTGCTTGGTAGCTATTCGGAGAGACGAGACGACGGAATGTGGTGCAAAAGTGGAAACCATTGAGACGTACGATTTGGATGATCTCAGTAGCCGGCTTTTGTTTTTTCTCGCGTTGCTCAATCTTTCGACTCTTTTCCGACCAGTTTTGGATCTTATCCCGTCGCTAGACGTACGCGAGTACGGCATAATAAAGCGAGACAATGGTGTGCAGATATCGTTTGCGGAGGATTGTGTAGTGAAGACGTATCCCTCGGATATGCCAAGTGACAGCATCATTCAGAACTTAAAAGATCTACATGGTCGAATGAAGGAATGTTCGGTCCCGAACGTTGTCCAGCTAATGACTGGAAACATGAAGAAGCGACACGTAACGCTTTCTCCTGTTGGTCGACTTGCTGTACCTGAAAACGTCCACCAGCTCCTGACGGCCTTACGCGATATACTCAAGGCGCTAGTGGCACTGCACGCCATCAATATCATGCATCGAGACTTGAGATGGGAAAATGTGCTGAAGTACCAAGGTGAAGATGACAAGTGGTTTCTGATCGACTTTGACGACGGAGCACTGTCACCGGCTGCAAAAGTGGAACATTTGAAGGCGGAATCGCATGCTCCTGAAACACTGTCGTGTTCGTCCCATACGGTCAAGGTCGACATTTGGAGCGTGGGCTACCTCATACAGACGTCAACAATCTTCGATATTCCGGCTAATCTGGAGACAATCAAAGCAGAGTGTTTACAGAAGAGTCCGGAAAAGAGACCCACGGCAGTATCACTCTTCGAGACAATTGAACATCTATTAAGAGCTGCATAACAAACAGTAAATGTTCTTCCGACGCAATAGTAAGGAGTGAATAAGATGATGTATCCATGTGCATCGAGAATGAACTTATAGTTTTCTTGCCTGCACTTAATGGTACACAAAGGTAGCGAACTCAGCCAAGCAATACCAAGCTTGACAAAGAGCGCTTTAAGGCAATGCAGAAGAAATTAGACGCCCACACGTGATGCCATATCAAAAGGGTTATGACAAAACAAACAAGGGCAAATTTGAGCTCGCAAGCGAAAAAGTTATCGACTGCAAAAGCAAATTTATTCCGCTTCGGCACTCGATGGCACCAACTTTTTAGTATACCAGCATCGCTTTTGTTCTTCTCGACGGAAGTCTCCACAACGAGTATTCTCGTCCGCCTTAACAACGCTGTGCTGCTTCTCCGTGAAGCTGGACCAAATTATCCACTTTCATCCCCCCGAGCAGTAGACGCCAGACGACGGTATGGCTTCTTTGGCGAGGCAATCGCTGTCCTCGAAAATGTTACTGCTGCAATCGGCGCTGAGATCTTGGACGTGTCTCCCACCGTGATAGTCGCCCGCGTGCATCCCCACCGCCCTAGACATATTTCGCAGGCTCAGCTGGGTGGCAGCGCACTTCACGTCTTCAATTTGACGGAAGCAACGCACCAATCATAAGTGTGCCATATATCAACGCGTATACGATAACACGCCAGCCCAAAACTCCTAGGTATGCCTTGATACGCGAGTATCTGGCCAGTTTTTCAGTGTTGTGCACGCGCACGTTGCTAGGGGGGGGCATTGGCCGACCTGGACCTCGTATACGACGGCCAGGTCGCAGATGTGACAAACGGCGTGGCAGCATCAAAGGGATGATTACCAGACGGAAGCGCGGTACTAGCTGGCTGCCCGGTTTGGACAAAGAAGACCTATCGTAGCAAGGACCCTTGGTCATGGCGCCGTCAATGGCATGTTGTCAGGACAGTACTACAGCACATCATGGTTGCTGCACGGCTACGTTCATTTCAGCACGAAGCACTAAGGTCGATACCAAATTCGCGCGCGCCAGCAGCGGGAAGCGGAACTTGGCCTACTACACGAAGGAGCACCAAAGTCGCGCACACGTCCCGTTGTGGACGAGTGTCGTCCAACGGTCGATCTCCATCAGCTTGATGGGATAAGCTAATGCGTAATCTGTGTGGTTGAACGCTAGTGGTGGTATAACCGACGCATCGTCTCCACCTTCATTCCACCTTCGATGTGGGCAATTTACGTCGTGAGTCTGTGACAAGGTAGTATTTCATCTCCATTCATAGAAGACCGATGTTGTGCTACTAGCAAGCGTTTGTGACAAGTTCGGCTCACTGTTCAATCGAAGCTGGATGACGTCTGCCACGCTGTCACAATAGTTGTCAGGGTCGAGGATGAAGCGCTTCTGACACCTGCCAACACGTCTCCTCGACTCAAAACTTCATGCATCGAGTTACTAAGCGTCTTGCTACATACTGCTCTACATTATCTTGCAAGGAAACATGTGCCAACAACTGCGCAGTCACAAGTGTCATATACGTATCTTACATTGTTTTCGCTCAACAATAATGTTCTCGGCAGGCAAAGAAAGAATCAAGAAAAGGAATTGCATGAAACTGGATTCCAACTACACGAGCTACAGCCTCCGCACTTGCTCTTTTGTCTTCATCGGATCCTTTCCTGCGTCTTTCCTCTGGACAACCTTTATTGTTTCTTCTTTCTGCGACTTGAGATGGACAGGACGGAGTATGTTTCTACTCAAGAGTCCGCACCGGCTACCACGGCGAATTTAGCCCAACAATACGGCGCCAATGCTCCTCAATCCGACGTCTGATGGCAATTTTCTTTCTTTCCTGCGTGCACACAGGAATCGTGAGTAATTTTGACGGGATTTGCTTCACCGCAGCACTTCTGCCTTCGACAGCTTCCGCATATTTCGAGGCCTTGCTGCCCTCCTGAGGCTTCACACTCAGTTGACGCTTAAGCAAATTGAAAGTAAATGTACAGCTCTGTGAGTACGGGAGGCACACTGCTCTTCAGACACAGCACCTGGCCGACCAGACGATCCGAACGCATCAGCGTTGGAACTATGTGCTTTCCTACACCGATCAGTCTGCCGCGTACAGCACTTGCAGGTCGTTCTTGTCCACACGAAACGACACAATAGGGACGCAAGTCATCGTGCTCATCCTTGCTGACACAATACTGAGCGCACGTCCATTTCGTCACCGACACGCAGCATACGAATAGAGCCACCTGCGGCGCCACCTTTTAAATTCTCCACGTCGTCACCAGGCACATCGAATGAACAGACGACAACTAACTTGTGCTTCGAGGAAAGGTCTTACTTTGGGACGGGAATGTAGGAACAAAATGATTTTGTCGAGTCCATGCGACAATTAATTAAGTCTTACCCGTCTCAGTCAGCATTATATTGAAGTCATAATAACCGACATATAATTTTGGTAGTTAGTCAATTAGAATGAGAAAATATTCCGCATCTTGGCCTCAGTATAGTGTCACATACAACCTATCATATTCATGTACGAATAGCAAATTCTTGTTGTTCTTTCTCTCCCTCATTCAAGAATCAGAAGCAATGGTAAAGTTAATATGTGCGATCGTTGGTACGAAGGAAAGCGTCTTTTCTGTGGATATCGACGCGAATCAGTCGGTGGGGCATTTGAAAGATGCTATTAAGGCAAAGAATGAAGACCTTCAAGGTCCTGCACGTAACCTGCAGCTCTTCCCTGCCAAGACGGTGGACGGCAAGTGGCTGGCCATCGAGCACGGAAGATGTAACACAGCTAGATGAGGACATGATGACTCCTCACGTCGAAGAGTTAACGAAAGGAGATCGAGAGCTGCAGGAGGAGGACTCTATTGCCAAATTCCTTGAAGGAATGGAGACTCCAAGAGCAAGACAAATTCACGTGCTGGTTGTGGTTCCGGGGCAAGCCCAACAAACAACAAGGTTGTGGCTCGTCAGTGGATACATTTATAATGCGCTGGGCACGAAAGGAATTCGCAGCTGTCTCTATCGGCTGGCGTCATCACGGTTAGGATGGTACGATCCGGCGTGCCGGACAGGGGACAAGGATGTCGCTTTTTGGTATGAAGACAAGCGATTGTGCATCCATGTTCTGTTTAAGACAGGTGCGACGATCTTGCCAGTGTGTAATCGTGCTGTTTTGTGCTTACTAACTGTCTTGTGTTTACTTGTTCAGAAAAAGATGCAAGGTTATTTGAATATGACTTGGATGTGGGTCCGCACACGCCTGACTCTCCATTGTATGGCCAACCTATTACGTTGAAACTTACACGAGTTGAAGCTGTAGCGTCTGAACTTCAGAGTATCATGTACTCCGACTATAATTCGTCGACTACAGTCCTTTCCAATCTGGACCCCTCGTCGGACGAGTTTCGTTATCAACGTATCGAACACGAGTGGCTGTTTGCTCCGTACGGCAAGGCAGAGAGATATCAGTTGGTGTCGAAACAGCAATGCAATGACAACAAGCCTGAATTTGCTAAGTACGATCGTGATCCGAACAATGTGCTTGCACTTTCGTACGGTATGGTTGGCTTTTACGACGGTCTTAGCCTTGATGTTCCTATCGTCAACATGCTTCCTGGATCGGTTGAAGAGACTCCATCAATTGGCAGCAGATACAAGGTACTTGTTTGTCCGTGTAATTTACTATTGTGTGTGCGAGCATGCTGACGCTTGCGTGTGTAGGTCGAGATTTTGGTGAAGGTACTAGATCCGCGTTGCGCTAAGCGCATCTTCTATCGTTTGAAGGATGGATCAACCACGACCGATGACCCGGTTGTGATGAAGACGTTTGTCCACGTCGAGGATCCCGAAACGTTTTGCTTTTGTATGAAGTGGAAGCATGACTATAACGAGGAGCTCTGGGAGAGCTTCCTTGATATGACTCCGGCGGTCGATTGAGCAGTTTAGCTTCGTAAACAATGGATGCTGAGAAAAGAAAAGCTAACGATACATAAAGATGGCGTTTTTTGTCAAATGATCGGCCACGTAACGTATCCAGAAAGAATCTACGTGATCATTCATTACACAGTACTTCAGTTGTGAAATACGCGAAACGTTCCAGTTTCATTGTCGATTCATTCTTGTTTACTTACTCTCAGACCACGATGACGTCCAAAATTCAACAGTTAGACAAGTACAATGTCGAGATCAAGTAGCTGCACATCCGTGGCTCAGATGGGAAATAAATATTGCAATGGCAATCACTTCCACAGAACAGCCTGATTAACACGACAATGATAAGAAGGCCGTCACTGCCGACTTAACCACACGATTCCTCGACCTCGTACTGAAGAACATACAGCGCGGTGCGGCCTTGAGTACTTATGATGGAAGATCTGGAATTGTAGCCTCATCTTGTGCCACGAACTCGTCGACTTATTTATATGTTGAGACTTGGAAAAGGTTCACATTAAAGATGAATCAATCGAAGCCACTGCCAGAACCGTTCCAATGCCGATCTTTATCTCGTTCAGTAGTATCCGAGTGTGACAGCGTGGTAGTTGTCACTGGCTCATCATTCAATGCCTCCATCAAGGACGCGTCGTAAGTGGACATGGGTTTCGTCCACGCCCTCTTCATGGCAGGATTGCTGGCAAAATCAACCGCAGTGGCTTGCGAGTCAACCCTCGTATTTGTCGTCGACAGCTTTGGAAGCTCTGATGTGCTTTTTGAAGGGTTCTTTTCTATCTGACGTGAAGACCTTTGCATCTTCATCATTCTTCATCTCCTCTTCCAGCTCGTTTTCAGCGGCTGTCGCAGCGACTATGACCTTCGCAGCCTCTGTTGCTAGAGCTATGGGTGCACCATCGTTGGCCAGCTCATTCGGGTTTTCCCATATCCACGAGAGCCAGCTAGGCGTAAGCGCGTACATGAAAGTACCCCAAATCGCCTCTCCGCCTTGAGCTTGCACGGTTTGGTCTTGAACCACGCCACTCACAAACTCTTTGGCGTGATTCTGAACGTCCTTTCGACTCAAAACATCATGCACCGAATCACTAAGCGTCTTGCCAACATTTTGCTTCACAGCGTCTTGCAAGAAAGTATGTGCCAACAATTGCGTCAAGTGTGCTCGCATTTGATCGTCTCGCATTATCTGCTCCAACAGCAGCAGCAACGCCTCTTTTGCTTGTGGGTCCCCTACGGTAGAGCGCAGCAAGTCTACAGTTTGCCGCAACGTCTTGGGATCTCTTAGTAGCGCCGCCATTGTATGCTTGGTCAGGTCCGCCACCTGCAATCGAGTCATTGGATCGTCTAGCGTATAAATCACCAGCGTTCGCAGGGCTTCACGTGTCGTTTCCATCGCCACAAGCTGCAGCACATCGAGAGACAATGTACATCATGTATCCGTTAATGATTCCATCATGGTTCTATGAACCCCAGCATTATATACTTCAATCATTTCAATACAATCACTAAGACTCTTTGCAGCGTTTACTTACCCTCTGCAGAAATCCAGATGCTTGATGCAGCACTTTGGGATCATTAAGCACTGTCTGTACAATCTGGGAAGCCAGTTCTCGTGTATTACCTCTTAGTGTCTCGTCCTGCAGCGAGCGAGACGCCACTTCGGCCGTATGTTTGCTCATACCGAGTTTAAGCTCAGGTCCAAAGGCCACGAGCCCTACTCCACCTAAAATTAGTGAGCCCATCCACCACCACACGCGTTGGCTGCGCATAAGACGTCGTACCATCTCCGGTTCGCTCATATTGGGGACAGATTGGTCGACTGTAAAATGAGGCGGCGTGTTTGAGCTATAGTGTCGTCTACGGATGCTCAATGTCTGCCAATTTGATAGGATAGGTAGCCTACGACTTGAGCAAGCAAATGCGCTTTGTAGCATTAATACAAGAGCCTTTGCTCGACTGCGAGACGTCATGGCCAACAGCATTATCCAGCTCCACTTTGTTTGTATTTTGAGAGATAAGTGTCCAGTTTGATGAGTCGTTGAGATTCAAAGATGTCAAGACATGTGAGGGAAAAGGGACTCATGGGAGCGGACAGAGGGCTAGTTTGCAATTCATTCCATTGCACGTACACGCACTATCCACCGTCTCAAATTACTTCAGGTAAACGCACCGCCAATGCCTCCACAGCACCATTAAAACCGTGACCCACTTGTTACATCGGCCTACGTAACGTTGCGATTCCCTTGTTCTGCCTAATGTCTGTCGGCCATCGCACAAAAGTTGTCTTTTTCTGTTTTGGTTCGATTCGATGCCTCCTTTTTTCCTGATAATGTCGATCTCGCGCTCGTTCATAATCACCTCCACAAACAAACAGCCCCGGCACACCCGCGTACTTGTCGCAAGCGTTAGACTGCGCTTCGCTTAGTCGTACTGAGTTGTTTGCTGTGATCAGTGCTTCCCTGCGTCACGGCGATTCGACCATCGTCCCTGTATAGTTTAAAATGTCTGGCACTGGTACTTCCAGATCACGGCAAAGCAGTCACCACTTCCCGTTGCAAAGTAGGGGGACGCAGGAGATGACGCCACACTTATCACCGAATTCCGATAGCCCGTTAACGTCAGCACTGAGCGTGACGAACGTGGATCCCAAAACACAACCGAGCGGTCCTTTGAGCCAGACATCAACCACCTAAATTTGCAGCAACATCACAATTCTTGATTAGTAGCGTGTTTAAGATCAAAGATATGACAAACAACAGCACCAACGCACCTTCCATCAGGCGTGTAAGCCACCGATAACACGAAGTCTTTGTGGCCCTGGAAAAGCATGCGTGGCCGTGTGGTCGTGCGGCCCTGTGCACACACATCCCACAGCATGATGTTGCGGTCAAGCGATCCAGAAATTACGTTCTTGCCATCGGGCGAGAAAGCTATTGAGTATACCGAGTCACTATGGCCCTCCAGCCGGTCCAGCAGTTGTGCCGTCTCGGTATCCCAAATTCGCACAACCTTGTCCAGCGATGCAGCAGCCAAAAGCCGTCCGTCTGGCGAAAGAGCAACCGACGTCACGCCATCCGACGGACCACCACTCTCGTTGCCAAAAATTTTCTTGCACTGGCCGTTGCGAGCATCCCAAAGGCGCACCTTGCGGTCACCCGATCCGGATACAATCAGATCGTTCACATAGTCCAGAGAATAAATTTCAGACTCATGGCCAGTCATAGCTGGACCTTCCTCGTTCGAAGCAATATCCCACACGCGAATAGTGTTCTGTGGCATACCTGCAACCAGCTTCGTGCAATCCGGCGAAAAGCAAACAGCACGAACGTATGCATCATCGGCTTCGTTAGCCGGAGCATTAGCCTGAGATGTAGGGGTCTGTCCATTGGAACCAGCTGGACGAGAGACTAGGAACTTGCGGTCACCAGTCTTCACATCGAAAACCTGTGCCGTCTTGTGGCAACCTGAAGCCATCATTGTACCGTCTGACGAGAACCGCACGCAGCACACGACGCTCTGGTGATCCATGGACTGATGCATCTCAGCAGCAGGGCGCTCCGACTCTTGGTATGACATGCTCGTTTTGGACGAGTACACGCAGCTCCAATTAAGACGACTAGCCTTCGTATTCGAGCTCTTCTGCGTAGTGTTGTTGCCCGAGGCCGCAGACAATGTCATCGCAGAGCTCGTGGTGCCACGGCTCTCAGCAGATTCACTCTCCGTCTTTGTGGTGCTAGACGCCGCGTTTTGAGACTGGCTGACGTTAGCGGGACTGGGACTAGAATTCGTGCTAGCAGATCCTTGCTCTCGGTTCATCTTCGAGACCTGAGGCAACATTCCACCTGACGTAGAAGCACTGCTACCAGCAGAGATTACAGATGGCATTGTGCCTTTGCCATTGGCATTTAGACTCGGAATACTCGAGTCAGATCCATTAAGTTTGGATTTCTTATGTGCCGGGGGTGAATTTGCTGCACGATCTTTGCCGTTCGCTTCACTGTTAATGCTGGGCATGCGACGAGACGACGGCGTCGTGTTCGTATTACTTGTGGTCAAAGGACTGAGTTGCGGAGGTGGATTATGATTGCCTCCTTGTTGTGGAGGAGGTGGCAATTGAGGAGGTTGTTGGCCAAGTTGTTGAAGACTGCGCGAAGCAGGTTGAACCGGTACAACACGTACAGGAGAGCTGCCATTACCACGTTGTTGCTGGTTGATTGCAGCCCCAGCACGTCCTGAAGACGTTGCCGCTGCCACAAGGTTCGACATGAGAGAAGATGAATCTTCCTGCATGCTACTACTAGTAGGTGGAGCACGTGAGCGTTTGGACGGGAGCTTGGTAGCTACTGATTGTTGGGATACAACCTGTTGTTGCTGTGAGACTTGACCCGTCTCAAGCTGTCTGCGCATACGCAGCATATCTTCTTCATATTGCTGTCGAATACGGCGATGATTTGCTTCAAGAGCCTTGAGTGACTGCTGGATCTGATCCATTTCAACAACCTGGGATTGGATCTTCCGTTCGACCTCAAGTTGCTCCATCTTGGCCATGTTAAGTTGCTGGATGGCAGCTTCATATTCTGCTTTCACTTGGTCCAGCATCTCACCTACACGACTCGTAGCTGCTGTTGCTAGTTGAGGTGGTGCACCAGGATTACCTGACGAGGGACCACGAAGTTGTTGAGTCTGGGACTGCTGAGGTGGTACGGCATTGGGATTTCCACCACGTCCACGGGTTGGCCCCGGGGCAGATGAAGTGTACATGATTCGTGGCTAAACGATCCGATAGCGTAGAGACTGTGTGTCTCCCTAAGCGGGGCCCTTTACCCTTTTTAATGACGATTCTTTTGCCCTTGGGGGTGCCTTGAAGGGTGTGCGTCTGAATGGGCACGAATTAGTTTGAGGAGGAAAAGGGGGGGAGGAGGAGAGCGAGAGGGGGTGGTGGATGGGGAAATCAAGAGTGATGGTCGCTGCAATTTAAAACAGTGGATGTGCGCGTTCGCGCTCAAAGCCAGACGGCGTACAACGACGAGGCAGTAACGTCACGAGGCGTAAATATCGTAAATTAGCGAAGATGAGGAATAATCTTTAGCATTTAAAGTGAAAAAGCAGGTGGGGGAGGACTAAAAACTAATGGAATACGGGTCTTGATAGTAGCTTGAAGATACTCGAGTATCAAACGTGCATCTTGCCTGCGTATCGAGGACGATAATGCATGGCAGGAAACAGTCGTGTCAAAGATCGCGGTAGTACCTTCAGTCTACAAGTTTTTAAGAACGAATGACGCGCCTGTTGCTGCAACGATATTTGAAGGGGATAGGATTTGCACCGCCCATCCTTTCGAATGTATCTAAAGCGATTGCTGTGATACTTCAGTTCTTCGCATACACAAGAATTGCTAGCGGTTTTTCTAACAGCTAAAAGTATAATTGAACGGCATTATCTTGTTTAATAATCGTAGATACAAGGCAATGGATTCGACAAGCAACTTGAGTATTGTTCAGATTTTTCCGACTAAGAAATCTTACGTTTTCATGAATACTGCATTCTGATTGGGTGACAACTTACGATTATCGAATCAGTATAGGCAATGAAGTGTTTTTCCAAGTGATGGCGATGTCACAGCACTGGCTTGGCACATGTGTGGGGTGTTTACTAGATATGGTATTTGCAGTTGGCAGAGCAAGTGCAGTAATAAGATGTTTGCTGTGACTTGCACTTGTACAGGAGGTGTTATTACCTCAAGGTGGCTACAGTCTGGCTTGAAGATTCGTATATGTAGCCCCTTTCCGTCCGGTGGTTCTAGCATTGCTTTGCAAAATGGTGCAAAATCTTTACATAGACTGCTTTCAATCACTATCCGTTACGCATCCAGGCGAGGCGACGCCTTGATGTACATAAAAACACGCATTCCAACTCTAGGGACTGGAGCTTTTTCAGTGACAGCAGTACACTTTTTGTCCCAATCTTGTCATGAGTAACCCCGTCTTGTCTCTATCCTTCCTTGTCCAACACGATATCATATCTAAAAGGAATGCACGTAATGTGCCAGACGACCAAACAACAATAAAGCCAGTCGCCTCGTCTTATTCATACGAAACGTCCTCCTTATTCCCGAGTGTTGGTCAATCTTCTCTACCTCTTGTAAACCGTCATCATGGTGCGGTCGTTGCCACTACGCAGTGGTTTCTTCAAGACGCCAGAGCTTTCGGACAGTGATGAGGCAGAGTTATTGGTTTGGAGTCGCTCCCTCGTGCCTGATCTTGTCCGTCAGCCTGACGTTGAGTGGACCATGATCCACGAACGCAAGGGGGTGCAATTGTGTGAGGATCGACAAAAGGGAGGACTCACGTACTCCATTCGTGCTGTAGCTACAGTACGCGCTTCGTTGGATGACATTATGGACATTTTCTTGGCACAAAACACAATGGATTACCGCTCACTTATGCAGTTGCAACTGCGTGAGTTCTTCATAGATGCTGCTGTGCTCTTTCATAGAGAACAGAACGAGTCTGAGACTTTGAGTATAAAGTGGACAGCAGCCAGGACTAAAAAGAGTGTGACCAGTCTTGGAGGACAAGTCGGACTTGACTTTTGTCTCCTTGAGTACGCAGGAGTTGTCTCGTCCGACTTGGTTGACGGTCGTGAACAACAGACCCATTCGTCTGCATCCTCTTCGAATAGTAAGGCGACGTCTGTGGGCGTGTGTCTCTATGAATCCATTGACCAGGCTGAGTGTCCGTCGCTGTACGACTCGCACAGACTTGAACGAGCTTCGGTGTCGAAATGCGGCTTCATCTTTCGTCCCCACGTGGAAGACGGAGTCGTGGAAGCCATGTTTGTGTGCAGCATCCGGCAACCGCCTGGAGAACGTGCGAAACGACGCTGGAATCGTGCGCTGCTGGCACATTGGGCGCAGTCTGTGAGCGGTATTGAAGAGGCTATCAGTCGTCGACGGATTTCGAAGGAACTTACAAAACGACGAGTGCCCACGTGGGTAAACGATAAAGAACGTGCGTGCTGCCACTTGTGTCTTAAGACATTTACTAATACACGACGCAAACATCATTGTCGGGCGTGTGGAGAGATTATTTGTCGGGCGTGCTCAGTGTACAAGAATGTGGATTTGCAGTCCGTGGGTCTTACCACACTCCGAGTGTGCAAAGCTTGTATGGACGGTTCTTCATCTACTGTGGCAGATCAAAAGAAGGAGGAGGCGAATTTAGAGGCTGCAGCAGCAGTGGCTGCCGCTGCCAAGGGGGTTACTGCTGACGGTGTTGCGTTGCCGGAAGGTGTAGACAATGATGTTTTGCGAGACGCGGTGGAGGAATACGCATTGGCTCTCCCAGGCTCCCAAGTTTCTACGGTGCCGGATCTTGTTGGTATCGCTTGGCTGCAGCAACTAGCAACACGAGACCAAGAGAGCACGTTTATGGTCAATGCTTTGATGGAGCGACTTCGAATAGATTCTGAGGAGAAGGTTACTGGCGGAACCACCGAAGAGCAGGTAGATATATATGACACTCTTTGCGACCTGGCGGCTCAGACTCTAGCTTGCAAATATGCTGTCGTTAGTTTGGTAGACGAAAATCGTCAGTGGTTCAAAAGCGCTGTGAACGTCAAAGAATCTGAGGTGCCGCGCGACTTCAGCTTTTGTGAATACCCCGTACGTGACCAGCGACCACTTGTGGTCATGGACACTTTGCGAGACCCACGATTCAAGATGAACCCGTTCGTTACTGGTCCACTTGGTGTGCGTTTTTTGGCTGGAGCACCACTATTTACGGTGGACAATGAATGTGTTGGTGCAGTGTGCGTGCTGGACACGGCACCTCGTGAATCGCTGCAGGAGTCGCAGATCGCTACGATGCAGAACCTGGCGCACTTGGCGATGGTTATGGTACAGGAGCGACGAGAGGCGCAGAGCAAAGTTGCGCGCGCTATAGCTTCATCACAGCTGGTACCGGCGCGTCAGAATGGTGGTCAAATTACCAATACTGCTGAATCTTCGGACCTTGTGCCACTGAGCAGCTACTCGGAGATGTCCATGGTTGTACAAGGTCGCACACAGCAGAAGGAAGACCCGGCGCTGAAGGAGCAGATGATGCAGTTGCTGCACAAGGCGTCACAGGTACGCGACCAAGTAAATTTGCAGACACACAAACAGCAGGCAGGGCTTCAGAGTTCCGCCGAATAGACCGCCGGCCAAGCATTATCGACACGGCAGCACCATCCACAGAGCAATATCACATTACGCTTCGGCTTTTTTGCAAGGACTGCTCGACGTACACATATGAACACTGGAGAGAGAGGGAGAAATTTGAAATTATCTGCACAAACGCAAAAAACGTGACGCTCCATAGCTTAGGCAAAATGATCATTGCTTTGACACGTCGTCGTGGAATTGGAATTGGCAAAGCAAGACTTGCAATTGACGACACTTGGGTAATCTATTGATTACTTATGAGTCGTCGATACTAATCTTTCCTAGTGGTCAACGCAGCAAAAAAGTATCTTTGAAAGATAACAAGTCTACATAGATTGCAGCACGACATGATAGTAACAAAAGAAGGAAACTACATGTTATTGTCTTAACATAGGCATCAGTTCTTGTGTGTGCGTTTTTGCAATAGCTTCGTTCTACCCGAAAGTTCATGCCTTGTCTAAAGGGCGATTAAAGCCACCACGACGGTTCATGTATTGGCGGTACTCTCGCTTGGTGTCTCGTCGCGCTGTACCAACAGCCGCGCCCTTACGATTCTCCTCTACAGCTTTTCCCTTCGTAGAGTCAAAGTCTCCGAACCCCAACAATAGCCTCATCTGCTCTTCCTCACTCAAATGTGACATGGCATTTGGCTTTACCTTTGGCTCTACCTTTGGTTCCCCAACCCTACACAGAATAAAAGTAGCATTCTACCTTAATGAAAGTAATTTAAATATATGACCATATGGATAAATTTAATTTACCTTTTCGTTTCATTTGCTCTACGCGACGTAGAGCGAGAAGTAGAACGACGTCGATGGGATTGAATCACCGGCGAGCGACTACGACTGTAGGATCGACGACGACGACGGCGCCGATCGACGCTGCGGCTTCTACTACGACTACGATGATCTCTGCGACGTCTACGAGACGCCGAATGGGAACGAGAGCGTGATACAGAAACAGATCGACGACGTCTTCGGCTATAGGATGAAGTATCACGGCGGCGACGACGGCCCAAGCTGTCCAGGGACCCACTGCGGCTACGGCTTCGTGGCATTTCTAACAAATAGTTTTCTAATGAACATTATTGTTATCTTTCATTTTTATTCATGTTTTACAATTTTTCCGTAAAAATAATAATACTCTAGATAAATGGAAATGCACTACAAAAATCATTTAATTTATTGAATTGCCTGCCACCCACCTGTTAACAGGTGGGTGGAGTACGGAGTGGTATCGGGTCAATAGTAGAGGGGTCAGCACCTTAACGACACAATGAGCACCAAATGCACCCAGGAAGACACAACAACAAAAAAATGCAGGCCACCACGCTAACTTAGCGATCGCATTTTTTTTAAAACCTATAGGCTATGATTAGCATTGAGTTTTGATTTATTCTTAGCAAACACCTAAATATTGTCTCGTAGTGTGCAAAATGGGGCTGTAATGGCTAAAGATCTTTTATCAAAATGTCAGGCATCACAAAATTGCTCCAACGCCATGTCAACAAAGCTTTCACTCTGTGCTCACATGGGATGATGATCAGACTGTCTATTCTCTTCCTTATGTTTAGTTAAGATCTGTCTGTAAGGGGAATCCCTTCTCTCTTCTGTCATGTCTACGTTGTTCTCCTATGTACGAGCTCATTCTGCTGGTTCAACCCGACGACTTCACGGGAGACACTCCGAATGGGTACGTGGGATTGTTTGACACAACACGAGCACATGCAGGGGGCAGGTGTCGCCTCGAAAGTGAGATTAAGTACCAAGCCGGTTGTCCCAGACGGGCAGCCTAACTGATCCCTGACATGCAGCTTGCCCCCCTGGTGCAGTTATTAAGCACCGACCTGTTGACACAGCGGTTCGCACACTGCGGAGAGAAGGCCTCTCCCCTGCAACCTTGGCCCCATGATGGGGAAATTCCCGATTAAGGTAAGAGGACGGGTATGCCGGCTCTTTGGAGGCTTTCGTCGCCTGGCCGTTGCTACTTTTGAGCTTAAATTGGGAGTGAGTAGTTGAGAGAATGTCAGATTGTCATCGAGAGTGGAGTTCTGACAGTTGAGAGGCGCTTATAGTGCAAGTCTGGAAGATAAGAGCTTGCCATTTGCTTCCAGGGTTATTGAGTACTGGTATCTTCAAGGATCATGTGTTTGTGTGCAACGAATAATGTCCTGCTAAAAATCTAGAGAGTCCTTAATGTATGGACAACTTGATGAGCATAAACCTTTAGTGTAAGTTTTTCAGGTAACAAGCTGACGAATGTTCTTCGGTTAGCATCGTGTTCGAAAGCACATGTGATGGATGACGTGCAAGTACCAATGTTTGACTTGATTTGTGAATTCCAAGTAATATACAGACCACTATCCAGTATAACGATTATAAAGCCAGAGCTGTTTCTTTAGAGCTTCGACCGATTGACAACGCCTGATTGCGGCACAATGGATCGATGCATCGAGATTTTTGGTCGGTCGTGTCCCTGGACGCATGCAGTGTTTGGTGAAATACACCAACATGGTTAGTAAAGTGATGAAAGTAGCAATCAAACCACTGGTACGTACGTGCTAATCCGTCAACACCTCAGCCTTTTGCTAAACACTAGGTGTGCATATAAGAACAAGTTAAAACTGGTCGGGCGAGCAGCTGAACGCACGTGATGTATCAATGACGTCGCATTCATATCGTGATCGCTGATCATATTGTGTGACTTGGCGTGGTTGTGTCTTAGTGCCTAACGTACAGCTTGCTTCTATTCAGGCCCTGTTGGTCAGCACTATGTATACCAGTGGCTAGAGTAGATTCTGTAAAGTGGACGCCGCAAACAAGTTTAAACTTTTCATTTAACGTTTGAAAATGTATGATGGTGCTTCTACTTTATAGTTAGCAACAAGACCTCACACTTGGATCCTGCTGAACAATGAAGATGCCTGCCCGAAAAACTTCCATTTAGAAGAAGGCGACAATCGCGTTGTTAGTTATTGGTTGACCTGTTGAGTCCCCTGAAGATTGCCAATTGGTAGCAGCAGCCTCTAATCCTCAGTATCATAATCGGACCTGCCATCACGCCTGTAAGAGACTTTCTGAGAAACTGGATGTAACCCGCCCGACGCTGAGGATGATACTGAAGACGCAGTAGATCTCGACGATGCCTCAAGGTTACTCAGTGCCATATCCCAGCCAGACTGTTGTTTTGCGTTCATCAAACAGCTGAGGCAAAAGCGAAGAGAGCGCTGTTGGACTACACCAGTTTCTGACACGTCCATGGTTATTTTCTTGGCTACGCTACACTTTGAACATACGACCAGGTGGCATATCTGACAGGTCGTACCGGTTCCAGACATAGACCACAAATGCTTCGCAAGACTTTTGTCACAAGCTTCGCATCGATTCGATCGATTTTCATCTGTAAGGTCGCGTTGGTTTTGTTTGCGCGAGTTGTTCATAAGCCACCTGAGCTTCTTGATGTAAGCGTAGTCGACACCATTCGCACAGCAAATTGCAGATGCAGCAGCAAGCGAAACCGATAGCCGACCTGGCATTGCACCGCGAGAGTCAAAGAAGCCACGGTAAAACACATCGACTTTGCCATGCCCACTCTGGCGGAATAGGTAGCAAAAGCTTAGCAATCCACGAACCATACCCAAGTGCGTAAGCTCAGGGATCTCACGCAGTGTCACGGAGTGCATAAGAAAGTACCCCACTCTTTCGCCCTTTGAGTCGCGCGTGAAGCCCGAAGCCTCTATAATGAGAAAATCTCTTTGCTGCACAATACCCGTGAGTACCGCTGGGTGCTCCTTAGCAAACCATTTGACGCCAAAAAAGCGGCAGGGATCTTGACGAGTTGGGCCCCTGACGGTCGCTAAAATACGGGCATCATCGAGATGGTCGTTGACGTGCGAGCTCCGCAACATCCATGCCACATTAGTGGGGGCAAAACATCCGAACATGCAGTCATCCAATGTGCCATCCATTGTTCCGTGTAGGGCCATTAAAGCAACTCCCCGTGGTCTCATCCTTTCCATGATGGTGTCTTCACCAATTCCAGACGATGAACACGACGTTATTTGTCTATCGCTTGCTGTGTCATACCTCAAAAAAGTGTGGTCCTGCGAAAAGGATGGACTCTGAATTACCGGGTTCCAGCAACCGTTATCGCGCTGATTGATCAATTTTTTTCGTTGGCGAAACACTTGAATTCCATCTTTTGCGCGAACAAGTTTCCAGTGTGGGTATTCCAACTTAGAACCATGGGAAATAAAAGCTTCATTTGCAACAACCATCTCTCTCACAATAGTATCTGCTTCATTACTAAATTGTTCTCGTAACTTCCTAGACAAGTTGACGGCAGGAAATGCATCTTTTGGCAACGTGAACTTCATTTTGTCGCCTTGTTCGCGTTTTGAAAAGTGTTCGAGAAACGATATGCTTTCAAGATTTGAGAACCAATCCACATCGGATTTTCTGTCCCTACTTCTTGTGTCTCAGGTCATATGGGAAATTCAGTAAGTAATCCCTGAGTAATCATCATTCGATTCGAAGTAAACTTTTCCATTTTAGCATCTGAGTTAGGGCCATTCGTGGCTGCAAGGGTATATCAAAGCTTGCATCGCATTCCCAAATTTTCACGGCCAAGCTCAAGCTCAAGCCACTCAACCCCTCATCACGGGCAATCTCTTTAGCGGAAATGGAAGCTGAAGTGGGTGGGAATGTCTCGGACATGCATCCCAAGCGGCCACCGGTCGTGCGGACAGCAGACCAGGGGAATCTAATCCGGCCAGAGGCGTCTCCACGCCACGCGTCCCGCTCGTTACGTACTTAGAAGTCAACCGTTATAATGGTCAATTCGATCTACTATTAGGTGAGACTTGTATCGCAGTCAGTACAATAGAAGTGTCTTCAGTAGTCGTGTATGCAATTGAGCCACCAGTCACTTTGATAAGATTGTATCCAGAATACCTGGCTGTCCTAATCAGGTCTTCTCGGGTCTGAATAGGCGAGCCTGAGCGCGAGCCAGTATCCTTGATATATCATCAAGCGGACGACTTGACTAGTCGGTCTATTACATTCTGACTTAGCATTAGCACGAAGTACAGCCCCAGTCCGTGACACTTCCGTCGCTACTTTGCAACTGGAAAGTCTCGGTTTCACGGCGCAAATCGTCAGTCAAAGCTCATACTTTACCTGCAACCATGAAAGTAACTGTTTTAGCAGTCTCCTGACTAGACGCCGCTTTTCGCTACGCCTGTTCTTCGCAAGGGCTGAGCTCGAAACCACCTGATCGTTACATTTACTCCAATGATCAAGCAAGTACATTCGCTATTTACGTCTGTTTACTATGCAAAAAATGAGTTTGACGGCACTACACATACATTCAATAATCAAGACAGTGGCAGTTTTGTGCAGCTAAGTTCACGTCCTTGCAACCTTGAGGTTATCTTAACAACTCTTTCTAGTTAATAGGTTCTGCCGTGAGGTCGTCAGTCAACGCATTTTCCATACACCGCTGCTGGATACTACCACTTGATGCGAAACAACATTCTATCAACTTGAGTCACAGACTGCTCAGCACCAATAAAAAGCCTGCCTCTTCTGGTGTGGTTAGTGATTGTTTACTACCGGTGCGTATTTTCCTACTACTACGGACGCGTTCGTCACCCGTGCTGAAAAAGTCAGGAAGTTTAGGAAGCTGCTGACACCGCGTCAGCACTACTAAGATGAAAATGTTCCTTTTTGCCGGGGATGTATCCGTAACATCTAGACGAACCAAGAGATGCGCAAAGCTTTATTTGTGTAGTGGACAATGACAAACGAAGTCAGTATGCGGACTCAGAGATGTTGTCTCGACGCAGAGACGTGTCACGACGACTCGCAATAAGAAGGGTTCCCTCGTGTTAATAAAACGATCGCACAATCTGACTTGCACAATGACGTATCTTCGTGTCGTTGCAGGTTCGATTTGAATAGTCCAGCTGTATGTCGATAAATTTGTGGTCGTCTACTTTCTTAACAGCTACAGTATATGAAGCACATTCTCCCAGCTATATCAAGATAGTGCCTGAATTTGATGACCTAACACCGAGATATCGCATGTTTCCAGCCGGGCTTTTAGAAAACTCGGCAAAGCCCTAGGCTGTAGCCCAGGGGATATAGCCTGTGGTATTCATTGTATTGCCTGGACTTCCAATAACTCAGCAGAGCTTTTTTATGCGGGATCCCTTTTATATTACCCCTTTACCCCTTTGTCTGTATACTTTCACCCCACAATCAGAAACAAAGCGAGCATCCATTCCCAGACACCAGCTGACATGAACGATCCTAACGCCACTTCTGATGCCGTGCCTCCGCCGACATGCCCGTACAATGGCAAGAAAAGTCTGTCAATCCAAATTAGTAAAGTCGGTATAAAGATTTTACGAACTTTATCCCCCCTGTAACGGGGTTACACGACGGTCGGAACATCATTCCGAAAGTTTACGGTTGAAGCTTCTATATTGCATATAATGTATTTTTGATACTTCTCTTTAGAGAGGTATGAAGTATGAGCGTTAAGATACGGTATTCGGTATTACCGTATCCTATCGATTAGGGTTCGATAATCAATATCGCTGTACTAAGTGCATTATACACAGATGTTTGGACGACACATCGTCCAGTAACGAAGTCTGCATATTATAATTACTATTATAGTAATGAATCTAGTGTAGGATACTTAGAGTAGGACTATTCATAAAATCTTAAAGCATAAATAAAATCAGTTCTCATTTTGAGTTTAAGATCGCAAGTCTCGATAAGACTTGTTCTCTTGTGCACTTCGTGCGTTGATTCTCTGAACCTCTAAGCTTCTAGCTTGTTCTTGTACTCAGTGCGTTGGTTCTCTGAGCCTTAAGCTTATTGCTTGCTGACTAAAAGTCTCTTTCCTAGTTCCTTTGAACAGGGTGACTTTTAAGTCGTTTAATTAGTTCCTTAGAACTAAGAGGCTTTTAGCCGTAAATTCTTCCTCTGACTTAAGAGCTGTGTAGCTCCGCTACACCCCCTGAATAAAGTTCCTAAATCTTTTTTACGCGCGTCTATAAAATCTGGCAAGACAATGCGTAATGGGGGTACCCTCTGCTTATACAATCTGAGTATAATTTACCTCCAGTGATGACAGAGAAGGCAAGTGTCTCAGAACTTTACGTAGTGGAAGACTTTTTCAACAATAGATTGAGAAGATAAGTAAACTGTTTATGATATCATTAAGATATCTAACAAATGTGAATCTGTTACAACCTTGTCTTAACTATACTTAAGTACAAATATGTATGTTACTTTGTGCCATCCATTTATTGTGCGCATCGATCGGTCATTGTCAGCGATAGGTAACACTTGTTGGTCTTTTTTACTTCTATTCCAACAGCTGCAACTCAATGACAAAGTCAATGCGCATCGCTGCAAAGGCAGCCAAGAACTCGGCTGCACGCCTGTGTGCAGCTCTTGATGAGCCTGCAAAGCCTCAAACAGCAGGCACTAATGTGGCTGCTGCAAGTCAACATCAGCAAGCAACGTCTGTTACAGGTTTACGGGGAAGTTTGCCACGTAAAGATTTTGACCCAGCGTTAGCCGCTGACTACTCGGTGAGTCGGATGCATCATCCGACTAAAATCCATCTGTTCCACTCCCAGTATCGCCTCGGGGTGCTGCCTCATCTTTGGTCCCTACGAAAAGGGACCGTGATACATTCAGTGAATCAATATATTTTGAATTGTTTGGGTCGTCTACGTCCATTGATCCGAATAAATTTGACTCGACTAGGGGTGTTGTTAGTGATCGTCATAAATCTACTGACATCACTGTACGGGGTGTCAGTACTTCTGTTGACACCACGCAGGAGTCTCTCGATCGCAATGTATTGCGTCTCGCAATAGGTTTGATAAATGAAGTATATGCGGTGCATGATATCGCTTGCATCGGCTACCAAGAGAGGATGCACTGCTATGCTGCTTTTGGAGCAACCCTTGTTCGGGATTCGTGAGCACCTCAGCAATAGCGCATAAGGAGGCGTTCCTCCTTAATGAGCCCTGGTGGAGAGCTTGCATCTCTTCCGAGATGCGTGAAGGGATTGCTACTTTGCAATTCCTTCGCAAGCGCGCTGGGCACTCGTTTCCTATGGTCACTATTCACGATCAGATGCGCCTTGTCGTACTGATCTACAAAGCCAAGAATGTCAGCCATCATTGAGGCTCGAGGTTACCAGATATCCGCCGAAGTCCGCCTGCCCGATTCTTCCATTGGACCTGTCTTCTGAGTAAGAAGGGTTGACGAGGTAATTCGTGGGGTCGTCGTGATCTGGATCACAAACGGAAGAGGCGATACCGCTTAAAAATACTGTACGGCAGATTGGGCTTGACTAAAATAAGTCACGGGCAAACAATGCTGTCGCACCGCTGGATAAAGAACGACGGCTTCATTCTTTAAGTAAAGAGCTGGAAACAGCTCGTCAGGAGATCGTTTAGTGTCATGAGGTGATATCGTTTTTGTAAACGACCAGATAGAGAACCGGTAGTGACCACGAGAATCTGATCGAAAATTTTGAGCGTGGCGGCTATCTTTGTCGCTCGAAAAAGCTGCGTACTGAACGTACGGACGAAGACGTCCCACGTAAAACGTAGGATGCGTACGCATCCTGAGTGGCAACTTGATCGTGTATGCGTTGCCTAGGCGGCGCAATACACGAAACGGGCCGATGTACTTGGGCAAGAATTCATTGCTGCCCAAGTTAGTCACTACATGTAGGTTTGCTGTAGACAGTAAAACTAAATCTTCTTCAATAAATGTCAGAGCACTTTCCCTTCCATCATTGTCTGCGTTCCGTTTTCTGCTTGTTTACCGCTATCGAGATGGAGTCTTGCAAGAAACGGACTACCTCTTCACGAGTCAGTAGAAATTCTCTGCTACCTTATTGCTTTTGGCTGCAGTGCATTATGAATGCACTGCAGAGATATCTGTTACTAACTTAGCGAGGACATTACTGTTCTCGCTTGTGATACCTCTAGCGATGCTGACGTCGTCAGCATCGTTATCAGTAGAGCGTCATTGCTCTTACTTCCTTCCTCTTCACCGAAGGCGAATGGTACGACTCTAGTTACTTTCGCGTCGATTATAACGTCTTCGTGTGATGAGCAAGATCCAGATTGGTTCTCGCTCGAGTGAGTCCCCCCTTTAAATTAGAGCCAACCTCTATATACTAAGCTGAGGACACGTGGAGGGCGAAGGCCATTCGCGTACAACGGTGTGTGCGTCGTGGACGCATGCACTGAGTTGTTGATGGCGAATTTGACCATCGACAAAAACTCACTCCAACTCGTAAACGAGTGGACGTACCCTCGAAATATCTCTTTGAGGACGCGATTGGCGCGTTCAGTTTGACCATCGGTTTCTGGATGGCCAGAGTAGACATAGTGATCCGTGTTCCAAGTGTTTGGAACACGGAACGCCAAAACTAAGCCGTGAATCGGACCTCCCTATCGGACAAAAGTTCACGGCGTAGACCGTAAATCGAAAGATGGTATCGATGAACCCCCGAGCACAGCCCTATGCTGTAATAGACTCAGTTACAGCAACAAGATGTAACATCTTGCTGAACCTGTCTACAAACACGAGAATACCATTATTCCCGTGAGCGTCTTTGGGAAACCCAAATACGGAATCCATTGATGCGGACTCCTAGCACTTTGCCGGAACAGGTAGAGGCTGCAATGGTGCACGGAGTGAAGGACTAGGCTTCACCCGTTGACACAACTCTCCAGATCGCACGTACTTGCGCACGAACTTATACTGGCGTGGCCAGTAAAAGTCGCGACTGACCGTGAGGTTAGTCTTCTCACGGCCACGATGCCCCCTTATTGGTTCATCTTGACACTCAAACATGATCCGTAACCTGAGATCATGTTGTGGCGGTACAACGAAACGAGGCGTGTCGTTGTTGACGGCTGTGTAGTACAGTAAGCCGTTCCGCTGTGTGTATCGATCTGTAAAAGATCGATATGGCTGGTAAGCGCTTCTTAGCTTGCTTGGATGGGTACTTGAGGTACTCCATCAGATGCACAAAATCACTATCTTGAGCATAGTCCATTCTAATTTCGTCAAGTAAACTCGACGACAAGACGCTGGTACTCAGCGTGGCAACAGTGGTGTTCACATCACTGTAGGATTGCACAGTCGGTTTAAGGTCAGGCCGACGTGAAAGAGCATCGGCGAAGACGTTGAGTCAGGGATGTAGCTCAAATGGTAGAGCACTCGCTTAGCATGCGAGAGGTACAGGGATCGATACCCTGCTTCTCCAGGCGTGTGTAGTATAGTGGTCAGTACCTCGAAGACGTTAAGTCAGGGATGTAGCTTAAATGGTAGAGCGCTCGCTTAGCATGCGAGAGGTACAGGGATCGATACCCTGCTTCTCCAGGCGTGTGTAGTATAGTGGTCAGTACCTCACCTTGTGTCTGAAACACATTGCTCAAAATAATCTCAGCGAACTCTTCATCAGAGAGGACTTTTTGGTAATGTTGCAGCTCATTCCGCTGAAGTTCCATCTCATGTAGCCAATCATTCATGTTTCTATCATGCGTATACTTGTTTGCATACAGTAGTTGTCGTGCAAAGATGTAATTCGCATACTCTCTCTTGGTTTGCTTATCGACAAAGCGCGACCACATCGCGTGAGCGCTTGTCTCGTGAAAGACAAGCTCAGCATCTGCTGTTGGAATACCATGCAGAATAGCACCATGAGCAACATTATCCATCAACGCAAACTGTGTAATTGTTGTCGAAGCTCGTACAACCGACTCATTGTCAATTACACCCCACACATGAATGCGGCGTAAGAACGTTTCCAGCTCAACCGCATACAGATCGAAACTTCCATGCATGATCGGCGGTTTGTTGTCAAGCTTCATGCCAAATCCACCATCAGGTACTTGATTCACTTCATGCATGGAGACAAGTATCCCACCAGCTCCAGGTAATGAACCACCAGCATTAGGCCTCCCCGCTGGAAATCCTGATCCAGGTAATGGGATAGTCGGTGGCGCGGTTGCGGTGGCAAACTCCCCACTCAATCCACTAGGTGCAATACCAGACGTCACAGTACTCACAGCGGTCGCAACATTACTCACGCTTGTCAACACATTACTAGTGGCTGTATCGTTTGACGACATCTCACTTACTCCAGACATTGTATATAGAACAACGACACTCACCTGCGCAGTGATAAGTGTGACAGGTTATGAGCCCAAGTCTTCTTGTACTGTCCAAGTAACATATTAACCCAGAGTAGGGAATAGATAACACGGAACACTTGCTTACCACTGAGCAACTTTGGGATGTGTTGACAAGCGTGAGTAATGTTGCGACCGCTGTAAGTACTGTGACGTCTGGAATTGCACCTAGTGGATTGAGTGGGGAGTTTGCCACCGCAACCGCGCCACCGGCTATCCCATTCCCCTACCGGTTTATACTCCACGGAGAAGTTGTACTCCGCGAAGAAAGACAACCATCTCGCCATTTTTTGCGAGAGTTGTGGGCTTTTTACAGCCGTGCGTAATGACGCATGGTCTGGATTCACAATGAACGGTCTATCTCCTAAGAGATGGCGCAAATCTTAGCCAGTGCATATTTCATGACAATTAGTTCCTTGTCATGCACCGGGCAGTTGCGCTCGGCTGTTTGCAGATGACGCGATTGATAACAGACGACACGCTATGCGCCGTCTGTATCATATTGCATCAGTGCACAGCCGATTGCAAAATCGCTGGCGTCACAGACCACATGAAATGGTCTGTCTTGTTCTGCAATCGCAATACCGGCGATTGCATCAATCTTTGCTGGATACGTTCAAAGGAAAGCTGACAGTAAGCGTTACAATCCCACTTCACATTTTTCTTGAGTAAACAAGAAAGATGTACTGTCATTTCGGTGTAATTGCGCGAGTACTTGTGAAAGTACGCCGCTAGCCCAAGAAACTTCCTTAGTCTCTTTACATCGACTGGCACTGGCCAGTCGGTGATCGCCTTGATCTTTTCTGGATCAGGGCGTACGCCGTTCTTTCCGACGATGCACTCAATAAGTTGTATTTCGCTAGCTGCGAATATACACTTCTTGAGGTTGGCGTACAACTTATGCTCGCGCATAAGTGTAAAAACCTTACGTACGTGGAGTCTATGGACCTCCACGTCTGTTTTACGTCCATATCCGGGCTATGGACGAGCACATCATCGAAGTACTCGGTGCGAATTCGCGCTATAGATGTGAACAAATCTATTGAATGTGGCTGGTGCATTACTAAGCCCTTGCGGCACCATCAACAATCTCAGAGCATACCACTGGGGGTGCTCCCTGCTGTGTACGGGATGTCTTGTTCACGCATTAGGATCTGATAGAAACCATTCATCAGATCCATGGACAAAATGATGATACTTTTAGACATACCATATATGTTTACTTCCTTTCTCGGTATCGGTGTTTGCACCGGTATCTTTGTAGCGTTCAATATGCTGAATGCGTGTACTATCCGCCACCCTCCTGTGGACTTGCACACAAAGAAAGTTGGAGAGCTGTGAGGTGAAGTTGATTCCCTCACATGGCTCGCAGCTAGGCGATCAGCAAAGAACTTGTCCATCGCCTCGACCTGTTCTTAAGGCAGTGGCCAATGCTTCATGACACAATGTTTTGTGCCTGGAACGAGGTCGATCTCGTGTCGATTACCTTTATCCTTAAGTAACTCGCACGGAAAGGATTCAGGGAATACATCCTTGAATTCGACCAAATTCTTATACAAAGGATTTGACTTCAGCGACTCCCAGGATTGCGATGTATATCCATCCATCCGAGTCTTCTCACCAAGGACACTTTCGTCCATTGATGATCTGCTGAGAACCCGTTCGTTGTCGGCAAATACTGTTGCTGACCGAATGTCAGTCACGCACTCGTCCTCTGCGACGAGCACATAAATCAGTTTGCCTTTCCGCAACGCAGATCGCGCTAGGATCTTTTAGGTTCGTAGGCAATTGATTAACTCCAAGGCTAGATTCGGAGGCGCGACCAGATCAAGCGTACAAGCGCCTACGTTTGCTCCATCATTAATAAAAACGTTCAACGTCTTGGTACCTTCTGGAGACTTATTCCATCAGGGCACTGGGAGCTTATTCCCTCCGGCTCGATGGAACTTATTCCATCGACTTCCTCTAGCTGTGGCTGCGCAACCACAGCGAGATCCTCTACGATCAGCTCTCCAGTTGATCTAGGATTACCGTGTTGCCGCTTCTGGAAAAACTCTTCGGTGAATGCTGCCCTCTAGGCATGCATTCATGTCCCGGGACACTCGACTTATTCGAGTGGTGAACCTTCGGCGCTGCCTGTGTTTGTGCACAGCCGCCGGCAGCTTGCTCCACAGCGTGACTGTCTGTCACGCTGAGTTCTTGTGCAGTCGTACTAACGACCGAACCACAAGTGAGGCCATCACACTCACTCGTAGTACATTCACACGCTTGTGAACGCTCCAAGACGTTCATCATTTGGCCATCTGATGAGCAAGCGGCAGCATCTTCACGGTTCGATGCTGCCAGCTGACCCATGGCTCGTACCTTCTAAGCCATGGTGCTCCTAGAATGACATTAAATTTGTCATCCAGGTCGAGCACGATGAAATCATCATCGTACTTTTTACCTTCAAGCGTGTAGCGAATTCCCACTACACGTTTCTTTACGGTTACGGATGTGCCAGTTGCAAGGCGCACCGTCATCCTCGTTGGAGGGGTCTCGCGCTCAACATATTTGAGCCTACGATCATCTAGCAATTGGCGTCGAACAAAGTTGTTCGAAGCCCCACAATCAACTAGGGCGCGAAGTGGCATGTTCTTTGTCACTTCGATCTTCAAGGTGATGAGGGATACCTCATCAACGGGAGCGGCAACACACAGTGACTGTGTGTTGAGAGCAACCTTCGTCAAGAGTCCCGCAAACTCTCTTGACGTTGCTGGATCAGTAGGGCGCTCCGCCCCTACTGACCCCAACCGTTTTTTGATGGTCCACCACGTTGTTGCGAAATCGCAACAACGTGGGACCCACGTCTCTGACCCTTCTTGGCAAACGGACGATCGTCACTCCCATTGTTACAAGATACTGGGCGTGGGGCACTACACTCATAAGCGTAATGGTCCAATTTCTGACATCGATTGCACTTTGTCAATCGCTTGTACCCTGGAGAGAGAGGTAGCTCGCTCTCTACATAGGAGGTCCATTGGTTCTGGACCTCCGCCCTCCTGTCGTCTCGGTGGACGATAGGACCCCGAGTGGACGTGAGCCTGTTGTAGGCTAAAGTACTTTTGTTCCGCTGCAGAGATCGCTTGATCAAGCAATTCTAGTCCCAAGCGGAACAGGTGGGTCTTGACATAACCATCTGTCAGACCCTTGATGAACACAGTAACCTGCGTGTGCTCATCAATTGGGTTCAGTACGATACAGCTAACGAGGTATCGTACGTGTTGGGCGTAAGCGTGTATATCACGCTTACCCTGTTTCAAATCCAGGAGCTCAGCCCGAGCCCTGATATCGGCGCGAGGCGGTTCAAACGTGTGTTTGAGCCGCGCCTTGAAGACGTCATACGTTGGGAAAACGTATGGGTCGTGCAGTTTGAGCCCTAAGGCCCAAGCTTTGGCAAGTCCTGCCAAATTCGACATGGCGAACTTGACCTTCATTCGCATCGTCATCGATGCGACGAGCCTCAATGGCATCGTCGAGCTCGACGAACCATCTTAACAAGGAGTCGCTTTCGACTGCCTTGTACTTGGATACATCAATCTTCAAGGACTCGGGTCGACGTGTATACATCGACCCGGAAACAACAGCACTAGCCTGCTGTTGTCTCAACAGTTCAGACAGTTGAGCACCCTGCTGCATTAACAGTTCAGAATGTGGAGAACCATGCTCCTGTAGCAAGGTGATTTTCATTACGACTTCGTCAAGTTCATCATGTATGAACTTGGCGATGGTTGCGTATTTTTCGTTTCCGCTAAAAGAGAGCAACATGGCACCAACGGCAGGGTTGCCGATAGTTTTAGCCATACTCTGAACCGCATTCCATTCGAGATCGCTCCAATGGCGGAAGACATCACGTGTTGGGTGATGACGTTCATCATCCGCTTATTCCATAGCGGATGGTGTGGTGGTCGCTGAGCGCATCAAAAATTGCTACGAGGTGTAATAGGGCACCCTCTGATTTTACACTCTGAGCGTAATTTATCTTGACTGATGACAGAGAAGTCAATTGCCTCAGAACTTTACGTACACGTGAACAGTCAAAGACTTTTTCAACAATAGGTTGAAAAGAATAAGTAAACTGTTTATGATATCGTATAGATATCTAACAAATGTGAATCTGATACAATCTTGTCTTAATTATACTTAAGTACAAATATGTATGTTACTTTTGTGCCCTCCATTCATTGCGCACGTCGATCGGTCATTGTTCAGCGCCCTGGCTGAAATAATGGTCTATATTTACCAATAGAGGGCATCTCCAACCTCAAGGAGATGCAGAGACAATATCATAAAAAAGGTAATATAGTGAAATATTATATGCTATAATAATATCTATATTGGCACTTATTATTAGTGCCAATATTATATAATGGACTTACACCGTTACACATTGGATATAATGCATAGTGCGATTCTGCGAGACTTGAGATGGCAGATCGATAGCTTGGTAGAAATGTGCAAGGAAGCTACGGCAAAAGCCCAAACGATTGCGTATATGAAGTTTACCAACATCAAAAGTAAGCATAGATCTTTTTATCTTTAGTTCGTTTAACAATAATAGTTGAGCTAATCGGCAAATCCTCCTTTCATTCGATGCTCTACATCCACCAGAAGCGCAAGCTATTGCAATTAACGGAGGCTTATTTGACTGTGAGAGAAGAGAATACCGTAAGCGTCTCATGCTGCAAGCGAGCTCTGCACAAGCTGTCACGCCTTACGAGCACACACCTTCTTGCAAAAGCGATGAAGCGTTTTGACCGTCTTACCTCCGCGTGCGATGGTGGGAGTGGTATGGACCTTCTCTCACCTTGTGTACCCGTCGGCTGGAGGGCTGCACTCTTCGGAAGACTTGGTGAAGATGTAGATGTCTGCCTTGAGGGCAGTAGACCTGGGGACCTCGAGTGGATATGCTTCACTCG